CGGGCCACGCACTTGGTCTGGAGGGGACAGCGAGCACAGGAGAAGACGGTGTGCCACGGGCCACGCACTTGGTCTAGAGGGGACAGCGAGCACAGGAGAAGACGGTGTGCCACGGGCCACGCACTTGGTCTGGAGGGGACAGCGAGCACAGGAGAAGAGGGTGTGCCACGGGCCACGCACTTGGTCTGGTGAGGACAGCGACCACAGGAGAAGCAAAAGGCTATGAAGTCCAACTTAAACCTGAAAAATACAGGGAGCAGCCAAGAAAGGGGGTAATGCTGAGCGAAGCCGATTCTGGAAGGAAAGCGGTGAAGAGCACTAGAGGGGAGGCAAAAGTCTACTCCATGACTCCCTAAACAGATTTTGTTTTTGCTAATATATGAACACTTTGGCCCAAAATAATGGAGTTGCTCCAAATTCTTATCTGAATTCTCCTGCAAACTATTCAGTCTAGGGACAAATGTGTAACCAACCTCACACCAACAGGCGAGAGAGAAATGCATTCTAGTTACGGCTAGGCCTTCGTGGCAAGTCTTGAATGCTGAAATAATCACCAAGAGGAAAAGTGTCACTGAGGCCCCCAAATCAACAGGTTTTAGTTAAAAGGCAGGCCTTGAGGTACTGGGCTTACTGCCAAGTAAACTTTGCCAGCTTGGAGAGCCTACAGCCCCAGGTCTGGGGCAGGTTGCTGAAGTTAGGAGATAGGGAAGCTCAGCAGAGATAACGAGTAACTTGGTGTACGGTAATCAGACTCAGGTCCAAGAGCACAGAACTTTTCTGACCTGAGATGTAGTAAGCCTTGCCCTTCCTCATGTTTGCCACCGATAACCCTCAACCCTCCCCCTGCCCTCAATTTTTTGGACAGGCTCCAAGGTCTAGGCACTAACACAGCCTCCCATAGGGTCTCACCAGCCAAGAGGATCTGTCGAGCCAGGAATAGTAGCTTTGCCAGCCAACGCTTTTCTCTGCCTCATACCATGCAGAGAAGCTGCCGGACTCTAAACGCACCTGTGCTGCAGGATACACAGCTCTGTCCGCCTTCCGGCTGCAGTTCTTACAACTCACTATCCTTTAAGGCTACGGGGTTTGTGGGGCCCCTTCAGCCTGCATTAGACTGGGCATTACCACCAAGGCTCTGGGGCAAGAGTGAGTTCAGTTATCTTATTAGGAAGTGACCTAGGTATTCAATGACTATTAACTAGCAAAATCTTATGATTTCAGGTTACCAAAAAGAATGGGGAAAACTATTCTTAAAATTTACCTTTTATCCCACTTACACATATTTCATTCACTTGTTCTCAACAATTATGTTCATTATACTAAGTTATTTTCCTTACCAACAAATTCTGTAACAGATACAACATCAATTTATTCGACCAATAAACCCAGGTAGAATAAAAGTTGTCTTCATATTTAATGTTAATTCTAAAGACATATCTATTTTAATTAAACCAACAGCTTTAACACCAAATATTTTCTCACAGAAGAATCCGAAAAGCATGTATTTCTATTATATTTGAATATAAGTGCTTAATTGCCTCTAGACCAACTAAGAAGAGCTTTCACAAATTAATTTTGGAAATAACCATCTGGAGGTAGAAAATACCACACATATATAATACATATATATACACAAACATACAGACCAGCACAGAGACCTTATCGCTTTCATTTCACAATTTTAGCCCTGAGACGGGTAGAATACAAAAGCTCACTAATTTATGAAAGAACGGTGGGATCCAAATCATGTTTCTGGCAGGTGAAGTAAGCTAAGGCTTTATCTGCTCAAATAGCTACATCTTTATACTAGTATTTATGGAGGAGACACTTTATATTCTTCATTCACCTAGTTCCCCCAAATCTTTCCTTTTTCTTTGAGGAATTAGTCCCTGAAGTTGGCATTTTAAACAGATGGCCTGGACAAGAGTTCCTGGAGACGCCCAGGTAGAACATTGGCATCTAAAGGCACAGGAAGGGTCTTTGTTTCCAAGGGTGAGGATTTTTACACTTATAAGCCTTCTGAGACAAACTGGGAGGTTTGGGGATTGGTCAAAGGAATGGGTGGACTTTGAGGTGTTTCTAGGGCTGCATTTCTAGTTTAAAGTACAGAGCATAGCTCCAGTATATACCAGAATCTGGCAAGGTTTTCCTTTCATTTTAATTTTAGTTTCTTGGCTGTTTAAGAGAATGACATAAAAGTTTGGCAGCAAATTCCTCAGAGTCCCATCAACCCTGGGAGGGGCCTACACAGGAGCGCCCCTTTGGGGGTGCACATGGGGGCATCTTTAAGGCCACTAACTTGGCAGCTCTGTTCACTGTCTTATTCCCACGTCCTTTCAATAGTGCTCAACTATGGTTATGAGTTCAGTCAGACCGGGGGCCTTCCATCCTTTTTTTTTTTTTTTGTCTTTTGTTCAATCCACTAATCTCAGAGCTTATTTACAAATAGGGAAACTAGAGCAGGCTGGGTAACCTCATCTACTGTGTGGAACGAACCTGGGGTGCTATGGGAGGAGAGCTTCCAGATGGGCCAGATTCACCTGCCTTCCGTTTGCACGTTAAAAAAAAAAAAGACCAGTCAGCACAGGCAGGGAAAACTCTAGGAGTGGCTTGAAAAGAGTGACCATTATTTTGTGATCTTTTCCTGTTCCATGGAAAAACCACGTCGGAGATCAAGGATTTCAAATTCCCTCTTGGGACTGCACATTCCGCGTCTCTGCTCCGCCGGGGGCTCTCCTGGCAGGCATAGCATGTGCACAAGCTGACTGAGATCTAGCATCCAGGGTCACAGGCCCTGACTGTGATTCTGAATTCTTCAGAAAACTTTTGGGGCTCCTCCCTGGGTTTGGATATTCTTTAAGTAGGGCCCTCAGTTCAGTTCCTGCCCAAGGAGGGACGCTGCCCGAGGAAAATCGCCTGCAGCCTGGGAGCCCTTCCTTTCAAGTGCACTTGCGGATTTTGTCTAATTGGAACTCTTATAATGGCGCTCATGATTCTAGGCTGTATGTAGTAAGACCCTGCCATTTCCGTACATATCTACAGCTTCCAGGACCACAGTTCTTAGACACAAAATAAGCAGGTGTGATGAAAGGTGGTGACTCAACTCTTTAGATTTTAAGGACTTTTTTTTTAGCCAAGCTTTTGAGTCTTTCAGAGTCAAACACCGAAGGGAATGTGCCAGTGGGCTGGGTGGGGTAGCACGGTGCTTTACAGTGTACCCCACTGCACAGAAATTGAGGCTGGCATGTGACCTACTGTCAATCTGACATGCTCCATGACCAACTCATCCTCACATGGGAGCCCTGGCATTAGGTGGCAAGGGCTTACCAGCTTTTAAGTATTTGCCCCCTGCTCATCCATTCTGGGGCTTTGGGTTTCCAAGATATTCCCCTGAGCAAGAGCCTTTCCTAGAAAACACACTGGACCCGCCCCCGCCCCTGGCCAGTAACCACCTGGGACTGGAGACCACAGGGGCCAAACAAACAGGGAAGCAGGGACTCAGTCACCAGTAGTTCCCAGCAAGGAACTAGGGATTCCAACAGGGAAACTATGGGAAGTCAGTCAGACTGGGAGGCTCAAGGCAGAGAGCACACGGCTCAGGACCCAGAGGAACTCACCAACAGCCCTCAGAGATGGCGAGAAAGGCAGAGAACTCAGGGGCTCTGTGGGTAGCAAGCCTGTGTTTCCCATTGTCCCTGAAGCCATCAGAAGTTTCCTTTGGATCCCATCACTGCCATCAAATCTGTGAAAAAAAAACCAATTCATCGAAAAAAAATTTTGAAGATAGTATTGGCTTTATTCAGTAATTTGTGAATTAGGCATCATCCCATTTGCAAATAGGGGCTTCAGAGAGGGATACAAAAAGGAAGGCTTTTATAAGCTAAAGGAAGTGGACAAGGAAGTTATTCTAGCAAAGAGCTGACTGTTTCAGGCAAGGTCATGTTCTTTTGGGGGACCAAGGAGTCCAGCAGGTGGATTACCATCCTTCTAGCACTAACCAGGTGATTCCAGGCTGACTAGTGTCCAGATTCCACTCCCAGGAGAGGCTGAAACTGCAATTAGATCAGGCATTAAGTCTGGGTTTGGTGAATGAGGCTTAGCACGAGTGACTCCATTTTGAGCCCGTTGCCTCTTTTTTACAGTCTGCAGTAATAAAAACACCTTTCCAGTCCTCTTTAGTTACTCCTAAAGAACTCCACTGCCCCTTAGGCAGCATGCCAATGAGGACTTGCTGTCACAGGCTAACTGCAAGATCCTCAATTTGTGCTCACAAATTAAGCAATCAACTTTCCCTTATAGTACACAGATTTTGCCCCTGGATGAGGAATTTTTTAAACTTTAGAACCTACATACATGAGAATCAATTGGGAAGATTTTTAAGCTGAGAGAAGGGTCATGATATCCTCTCATGGTTCATGGGTTTTTACGGTGCCGGTATTTTTTTTAATCAAAGGTGAGATGGAGTCTCACTGGTCCTCCAGGCCACTTTCTATCTATTCCAAGTAGAACAATTGTTAGAAATCTTTAATTTCTGGACCTCCATTTCCTTAAAATAGAAACATTAGAAATGTGCAGCACTGGGGGATTCTATTCGGTCTGAAGCAGCACAGCGGAGAGCTGAGGAGGCTCCCCTCCCACGGCACATGGGCTATGTAGGTCTGAATAATTAGCCCACTAAGTAACTGTTAGATAATCTGGTTCTAAATGTTAATGACAATGATATACCAAATTGGCAAACATGGTACATTTTAAAAGCCAGATATATTTTTAAAAGATCATGCCTACAGTAAGTAAATCATGTAGTGACGGAACATCAGAACAAAGCTGATGAATAAGATGGCAAAAGTTCAGGAGTAAAAAGAACAGGACAGTTCTTTTTGTTTCTAATGTGGGAGGAAAGGGAAACAGGTATATGAAAATTTTTTTTCAGATGAAGGTTTCTGTCCGTTGGAACAGTTGACACTGGCTTCTTTCTCCCTGGTCCAAAGCAGTCTTTTCTTTCTCTGGCTCCCGAGGATGTATTTAGTCTTCTGCCATGTAGAGGCGATACATCAGGGCTACGGCCAGTGCGGAGATGGCTGGGATCATCCAGTTGGTCCACCAGCTGGAAAAAAAAAACAATGCTTACATGGTAGTAGAGGCAGGGGACTTAAAACTTTCAGTCTTTTTAATCATAAAAATCACTATGGCATGTTTTATACCTATTTGGAAGAAAATAGCAACTCTCATTTTGGGAGAGCCATCAGCCAGCTCTACAGCCAAGGACCAACCACATCCCCTGAGCTGCAGAGTAAGGGTTCAAAGCACATGGTTACTAAGGTTGCTGCTAGAACCACAGTTGTACATTCTGTGATTCTGTTCTGAAAATCTTATCTTTACATGTGTATAGTAGGTTTACTGTGTTAAGAAACAGTACATCCGAACTACTTAATCCATGGTCCACTGGCATAAATTCAGGGAACAGCCCTAATTTATACATTATTCAGTTCTGATGCATAGGAATAAGTGACAGATTACAGATCAAATCAGGGACAGAGCCAGGAAGATCCTCAATTTAGATTTGAACCTATAATTTCTTAGCAAAGAGAAATTAATGTATAGGTTGTAGACTCTGAATAAAGCCAGATAACACCTCTGTATATATATATTTTCTGTCAAACTTTCTATCCTTTAGATCTTCACACATCAACCCGTTCAAGGATCAACTCAACAGAAGGATTTCAATTGCGAAAGGATCACACGCACCCCTTTCATCTTGGCGGGGTTCTCAGTTTCCAGTCAGGAGACTGGCCTGTCAGTGAGAAGGCGAGTACAGTCCGAAGGCAAGAATGTGCCAGAACACCAACAGACCGGGGCAGGAGGCAATGAAAGAGACATACATGTGTGGGTTTGAGCTCAAGCCCGAAGAAAAAATACATGGGATAGTAATTATACAAGTCAACATGGCAGAGCTGCCAGAAGTGTCCGTGTGATCCTGGGACTGTACCAAAGGAATGTGGTCCCGAGAATGAGCGAGTCCTGCTGCGCTTGGATCACTGGGTCCAGTTCTAGGACCAGCTCACGGAAAGGGACAAAGGAACACTGAGCAATGCTTAGGGAGATGGAATCACTGCAGGGTAAGAAACCAATCATGTTTCAAACATATCAAACAAGGAAGGAAAAGTTTGCCTGGAGAGTAAGATTACACAGGCCACGGGGCTACCACGAGGCAGAGGAGGGCCCGATGTACTTCGTAGGTTCCCTGGGCAGGTGCAGCTGGAGGGCAAGATCCGGGGTCACTCTAAAGAGCGCCCACTGAGCTCAGGCCACACTGAGTTGGCAGGGAATGCCCAGAGCAGCCTAGAGCAAAGAGGAGATGACCCCCGGCTGTCCCATGGGAGGGGGTACGGTGGGAGCCTGAGCATCAGAGAGGCGCCCCAGCGGGGAGAGGCCCCTAGTCCAACTCTGACCCCATGAGCCTTCTGATGACAATACTGTTTTAGAATAAAACTAACACATACCTGTAATTAGACTCAACAGTAGTAATAAGAGTCTCCTGAAACACAAGAGGAAAAAAAGTTGAAGGGAACATCTGACCTTAATTGTCTAAAAACCTGTTTTAAAATAAGCTCACAGTATTTTATTGAATGCCTTCTTCAAAACGCATTGAAAGGGAAACTTACATCAAGCTTTCCACTAAAATGCCTAATTTCACCATTTTTTCAGATTTTAATGATCTGTATCTAAATTACAAACATAACCTAGATAATTTGAAAGAAAATGCTAAAAATTAATAGACCACATAAAATATCCTCCATACAATACACATCTAAATACTTCATGTAGAAACTGAAATCAGGTCTCATTTATTATCTGTACACACGACCTCATCCTTACCTTTAGGAAGAGCAGTTTAATTCTTCAAAAGCATGAATGAAACATTCCATGAAAACATTGGCTATTGCATTCAAATCTTATAGGCAGTAAAAACGGATCCACATTAAAAGGGCATGACCTCTGACAAGGACCTGACACTGCCACCTGCCAAGAACCTCCATGTCAGGATGCCCTCAGCGCCAGGCCCTTTCAGTCTAGGCCCACCTGACCTTCCAGCACCTGTTGACAGGCTTTCCCGCCAGCGCCATGAAAGGGGACTGACACCGCCTCTGTAAAATGTGTACTTCCCCAAACAGCAAAATAACTGAGGTCTCAGGATATATGAACTTTTGTGCTTGATAACGTGTTAAGAAGCATTTTTTTGAAATTCCACACCAGCCAAAGTATTAGTGCCTCAGAGGAAGAAAGCCATAAATAAGGCAGCTCTATGCGGTCCACCTCTGCAGTTTCCCAAAGCACAGGTAAGACCCATGGCAATACACTCAGCGGTCTGCGGGGAAGCAAAGCTACCCCCAGCTGGGCATGTCAGGAAAGCCCCACGAAAAGGCAGAAACGTTTAGGGAAGAGCAAGCAAAGCAGTTAGGAGACCCACCAACCTGGAAACATGGCCTTCAAGATTCCTGACACGGTAGGGGGAAAAACAAATCATTTAAGAAGAAAATCTCACATTTATTATATTTTTAAGCAATGTTAAATATTAGACACAACATAAAGTATTCATAGCTCCTGCAAGCAAATAAGCTTGCGTATGTGAATAAGATTAACAAGGATTGCTAGTAATGACTGGGATATGCAAAAATAGTATTTAGCTGTTAGAGGAAACAGTTCTGAAACTGAAGCACAACAGTTCATTCAAAGCATTATCATTACACTAGAAAGTTAAGCCTGAACTGGTAAACAAAAAGGCACAGATCTGTTATTTTGTTACACACCGAGCGGGAGCATTTCACCACACTTGCGGAGGGCTCTGTGCAGACAGCTGGCCTGCCCCTCCACCCCCACCCCACGGCCCTGAGTGCAGGTGCTGCTCGGGCAGCACACCACCACCAGCCAGGGAGCCGAGCACCTTCCAGAGCTGAACTTTCAGAGGCGTATACAGTTTGACTGCTTAGTATCTGTTACACATTCAACCAGGTCATCTCATTTCTAAGTTTGTGCAACTAAGCCCATTTCTTAATGGGAAGGCTTTTCTATCATACTGACAGCGATGCCTTTCCTGTGACATGCAGAGCCTTCATAGGAAGCTGGGGACTGCCACTGCCAGACCTGAAATGGGTGCGAGCGTGGGTGTGTGACCTTGAACAAGGTCAGATATGGAACAAGGTCTCAGCTTCATTGTTTTCACCTTCAGGATCCCTTCAGGACATCGTGAGGGTCAAATAAGGTCATTTACACAGCAATGCTTCAAAAACACCAACCAGGGAAAGGTGCCTCCATTAATATCCTCCATGTAAGCTAATCAGATACAGATTTGTTTAATTAAAAATGCATCATTTCTATGCCCACAAAAACCTTAATTCAGCAACTTACCATGCTTTCCTTGGGCAGGTTCAAGCTAATAATCTTTGATGCATCTCATTTCACAATTCAACTAGGTATTTTAGGCAGAAAACATTTAAGAAATTCACACCAGGGCACACATTTATCAGTGTGGAGAAAGATGGACATATATACAGATCGACAAGCAAATACAACGAAACAAGTATCTAAGGACACTCTCCTCTGGTAAACGAGAGGCACAAGAAAGATAAATCTACAAAAGTTGCCATGCGTTTTCTTTCAATGTATTTGCCTCTGGCCTCTAAGAAAAACACCAAGTTCTTATTCTATGTTCCTCCAGCTCATTCCTAATGAAAGCAAAGTCACATATGTCCTCATGGAGGAAAAGTCTGTCTTCCAGAAGGAAAGCAGTATTTCAGGAGGCAATCAGAACTGCCATCTGAGCCCTAACTAATGCTCTCTCCTCATAGGCACTGGAATCCAGGCCATGACTGGCCTTACCTTAGACCTAATTTTCACATGCTGACCCTTATCGGATTCTTGTTTTACTATAGTTGAATGATTTGCACCAAGATTATTAACACACTGAACACGTAACAGGAAGAAACACTTTTCCTGACAGACTTTGGAGAAAAAGCAGAACCCACGTGCATCACAGAACTACACTGTCCAGAGAGGAGCCTCAAGAAAGGTGAAACTGTATGAACAGCATGGATTCTAAGCAATGGTTAAAAAGGCAATACAACTACTAAAGTCCATTTTTTATCTCCCCAAAGTCCTCAGATCACCAACATTGAACTTAAGCCTTTGAATAGGGAAAGGAGTATAAATGAAATTGCTCCATACTAAAGCATGAAACAGGACTTTATTCTACCATCTGGGGCGCAGAGGAAATGTGGCCTTTATGCTCTATTGGATTGACTGCTTTGATTATGTGTGAAGACAATGCCTTGTCAGCAACAGCTAGTAAATGAGTTCCCAGTTCTTAAAACAAGGCTGTGGAGTCTTCCGTGTGCTCTAAGAAAACCAAGAGTATAACCCCAAACAAAGATATTTTCTTTCTCTCATTCGTTTTTAAGTAAAACTTTTCCCCTCGGTTATTTAATTACAGGCCAAGACCTATTGTTTACTTGTACTTTTCATCAATTTCTACTACGGATTTATCCTCATATGTAAGTGAGATCAGCTCAGAGAGGAGGCCTAGTGAACCAGGGTGTAAAATTAGTAGTACTAGATTTTCCTTTCCTAAGGAAAAGTGCATCAAACACTTATAAACATTAAATTCATCCAACAAATATTTGTGTAACACCATGTCCCAGAGAAGTGTAAAGGGAGACAACATAGAAAGTATCCTCAAAGGTTTCAGTATGAAAACTGCTGCTCAGATTTTAAATTCTCTGAAAATAAGGCTTGTCTCAAATCTTTCAGATCAGAAGCACAGTGCTACTTACAAAAAGGGGCTTTTCAAAAGGCATCTATTGATAATTGTGATGGAAAAGTTATCTTAGGTATGTGTCTTGCAAAGAGAACAAGCAAGCCATCCTAATGAAACATCATGACTGGTCTGTACAGATATTGCTGCATGAAGGTTACATACTCATCCAACCCAGAAAGACTTGTGTGGGTCACAGTCAAGCAAGACCTTTGCCCTCCAGCCTGCGAGGTACAAAACACAGTGATAACCACAGCCCGATACACAAGATGGTCACACTTACCGAAGGCTTAGTTAGCTTTGCTCTGTCATCCTGCAATAAAAAAATAAGGCGGGTTACAGAATGCAAACACACCTGCTGCCAAAGGGTCAAGTCCAAAGGGCTCACTTTCACTGAACTACTTTTTTAAAAACCACAGTCCAAAATAGAGTACATCTGAGAGCTGAGCCCAGGGGAGCCCAGGAGGCAGGTAAGGCAGGAATGCTGCAGGCACACCTGAAACCCACAGCCTGGCACCCAGCAGCTGAGGGTGGGAGGACTCAGGGCAGGAGGGCAGGTTCTAAGGGCCGGCCTCTGTGATTCCAACATGGCTCTACCGTGGTGAAGGTGAGTACAGGAATACAGGTGGGCAAGTAAACTTTGCAGCGCACCATCTCCTAGCACCACACACACACGTCCCCAAGCACAGGAATTTCTCTAAGCAGGCCTTCCTGCTCTGTCTCATCAGTATGGCCATTAGGAGCAGCCGCTGACACCGCACCCCACCCTGCGCACAGCCACCCTCGGTGTTTCTCAGCGCGCAGGTGGAGGCCGGGCGCCTGGTCTTCTGGTTGGAGCTCACCCCTCTGGCAGCGCCCCAACCCCCTGGAACTGTGAGCAGCGGAGGCAGGGCACTGCAAGAGGCCCGGTGCGCCCTGGAGGCAGGGGGCAGCCCCCTGCCCAGCACCTGCCTGGCTCGCCAGCCCCCGTTGCCCTCCCCATTCAGCGGCGCACCGGTGGCAGACTGCAAAGTCACAGGGTCATTTAAAATGGCCTCAGTACAGCCCTGGGCTTACAGAAAAGCTGAACTGGGCTGGTGTTTCCCCACAGTCAGCCCATGGATTGATACCAAAGGCGACAGTCCCAAAGGTCGGGGAGAAAGTGCCAAGAATGAGGAAATTGTGTGGGTTTTACAAAAAGGTTTTACATCCTTTGGGAATGTTCTCTCTGCTTCTCCATGAATTCTTGTAACAGAAATTTTTTAAAAATTTTAAGTCATCACTTAAAATGAAAACATCCCCAAGTCAACGAAAACAGGAGGGAGTTTATGAAAAAGACTTTGGTGAAAATATAAAAAAAAGTATGCTGGGCCAATACCCCATCCCTACCTGCTAAATTGTGTTGCTCTGTGACATTTCAGGGTCTGAGAGGCGCTGTGCCCTGGACATGACCCCAGGTTAGAGGGTTCTAAGTGCAAGTAAAAATGCAGACAGGGAAATGCAAAGAAGTCTCAGGTCAATTTGTTCACAAAAATGGTGCCCCACAATCAGGAGAAATTATTTTACTCCTTTGTTAACTTTTATTATATGCAGGTCTACAGATCTGAGTAAGGTCTACCACAGCCTCAAAGAGAAATAAGCAAAGGCCCGCAGAACGGCACTTACTGGGTGAAGCTCCCCAATGATGTACGTTTTGGACAATTCTCGAGCATCGGTAGAGTGCCCGATATCCTCGAAGTTTTCAGTAGCATCCCCTCCGGCTTGTTCTCGGAGGACCTCTTCCCCACCAGGATGCTGTTCAAAAGATGAATACAAGAAATACATATTTTTCTAGGCAATTGAGTTAAAAGGAAGTGGCCAGTTTAACCAAACAGGCTGCTTCAGAAGTCATGACGATAATGTGTGCATATAGCTCATTCACATTGTGGATGAAAACAACATATACCTTTGTATTCAGTTTCCTTCTTCAAGGTGCAGTAGAATCCTTCTCAAAAAAAAAAAAGATGTTATTTATATGGCATTAAAAGCATTAGGCACATATTATTCATCCTTTGGGAATGTTCTCTTTACTTTCCATGAATTCAGCTCTCCCAGTTGTTCTAAATCGTTACCATTTTTGAGTCCTGGACCTGGACCTTTGACTTTCAGTCTAAGTGTGGAGTCGGCCATTATTAGATGATGATAATGTTAGTCTTTTCAAAGGTGAATAATCATCCTAACAGCCTGTTAGGCAAGCAAGCCTCTTGCAGGACTTATTTTCTAGCAGGAAGAAAAAGAAAAGCAGGAAGAAGGGGGACTTGCTCAAGATGCTGCCATAGTCATATCTGATTGACAGGAAACAATGGAGGCAAAGAAGGAAGAGATCAGTTCCACACCGGGGAAGGGCAGGGAGCCTTCTGTGGAACAAAAGCACTTTACAGCTCTTAGCTGCTTTAATTAGCAAAACAAAGGATGATCACAAAGCAGGGAGTGAGGCTGACAGCAGGCCCAGTTAGGGACGGACAGGAAGACTTCCAGGTATTCTCAAGACAAGGGTAGGAGTTCTCAGTCAAGTAAAAAGAAAGTGTGTGGTTATATCCCCCAAACACTTCTGTAGGGGAAAAGACTTCAGTTCATCTTAGATCAAATTCACGCTGCCCTTGAACAAATCACCTTTAAGGGTCCAATAACTGAACAGAATTCTCCCTTGCATAACAGACTGCAGTCTATTAATTTTTCCCAATAATGGAAGGCACAGCCATGGGACATTTCAGAAGAGTACACAAGTATTCCGTGTTGAAACCTATTTCTCCTCCTCCTATGTTTAAACATACCTAGTGCTGAAGTCACTTTCTCTACTCCTTTCTCTACTGTTTGTAAAAGTTACCCATCTACATTACAGAAAAACTGGAAAGCACAAATTAAAAAATCACCTAAATCACCCATGATCTGCCATCTAGGGAGAGCTGGATATACATATATGTGTATTTTATGTGTGAATGATTTTGAAAGAAAATTGTGTTCATTACCTTATGCATGCCGTTAGACACAAACTAGATTACAACACATGGTACAGAGACATCGCCTAGTGGTTACTACTGCAGGAACTTTGGAAAGTGGTATTTGCCTCAGTTTTTGATGCATTAGTATATGTCCAGCATATAACATGATCAGTAAGTTTTATCCAGAATTTTCATTAAATATTTTCCAATGTCATTAAGTATCTTTCCTCAATATGACTTTTTAAATGACTACATAATGCTACATCCTTCAGGCATTTCCAAATGTAAGATTTCACTTTAATCTGAAGAGTACTCAGGGCAGGTGGAGTTCAAGGGCTCTCGGGATTGCTTCCTTCAGCTGGGCGACCAACCACCTTGTCAAGGCCTGTCAGGGTCACCCCCCCTACTCAGCCGCCCCTCGGAGACCACACACACTCACTCATAAGTTCCAAGAACCTCACTGATAAGATGTGGCCTGTGACACTACAGAAGCTCGAGGGTTTGACCTCTGTCACTGCAAAGAAGAACATGTCCCAAATCTGATGGGCAAGACTCCCAAGGCCACTGCTGTCACAGAACTGCAGCAACATTCAAGCGGTGGCAGCCAGTCCTCAGAGGGCTTCCAGCAGCCCTGGCCCCCAGAGGGTCTCTGCTCCAGGAGTAACGAGCGGAGAGAAACCACCTACCACACACAGTGCCCCCTACAGCACAACTCTACTCGAACTCCACTAGTTCCCATACACAGGGGGGAAAAAAAAAGGTACAATAGCAGAGAGGCTTTATACCAGGGCAAACAGCAAATGCAGAGCCAGGTTCGGGTGATGGCAGTCAGCGAAGGAAAGGCCTTGGGTTACCTGTGTATGTTCAGAGGCCAAGAACGAGAAATCATACTGAAAGTGATGCCGCAAATCCTTTTCATTTAGAATGAGGCCACAGAGAAATGCTGACTAAAGGAATAAATACATTACTAGAGATGCCGTGGTATCCAGGGTTTTTTTTTTAGTTTCAGGAAAATTCTATTTCACAAATAAAGTGTATCACTACACATTAAAAATGGATCTATAAAAACTGGCAAGAGAAAACTCAGATACGACTCGATACAGATGTTCAGTAAATAGGAAGGCAATAATCTTAATGAGAAAAATATTTTAAGTAAAATCAAAGTCACTCCAGATGCAGATGCACAATGCACAACTACTAGTAATTCAGAAATGGATTATCAAGTAAAAACTCTTCAGCCCTATTCTTCACTCCTTTTTGTTTCCATCTCTAACCAGAAAAAGGTAATTCCAAAAATGTAATTTCTACTTATCTTTGCTAGTTAATACAAATAACAAATGAAATAGTCTTAGGCGTGACCCAACAGTTTTGCGTAGTCTTTGACCTTAACATTCTGTACTTTAATAAAATTTCTAGATTTTAGTGGCTTTGGAAGAACAAGTTATAAAATTGCAGTCAGAGGTTGAGAGTCTTGTTCACGTGACAGAAAAGCCTCCCGCTCTTGTAAATAAAACCGAAGCGCTTCTTGAGTTCATGGTTCCAGCCATCAGGCTGGTCTTCCCCTGTCCAGCCCCTCCCCCATGCTAAACCATCTTAAAAACTACTAGAATATTCATCCTTAAGTACCATTTTGACCATTGCATGTACCCTACTCAAAATCTACAATGAAATTTCTGCAGGCAAATCAAATGCCTCCTGAATATCTCAACAAAGTTTCAACCTCCGCACAGCATAGAAAGGGCCCTCAGCGACAGGACACAGCCGCTGGGGAAAAGACTGCTCACCGATCCTTTCCCCACTTACTTTCATCTGGGAAACAGCTACTTAGAAGAGATATTCCCAGCCTCTCTTGCAGCTGGTACCCCACATGATTAAATCCCAACTAACGGAATATAGGTGTCTGGAGTAGCTTCCAGAAGCCTTCACTGTGGAGTGGTGTGCTTGCTCCCTTTGCCCTCCTCATCCTGCCGTCTGCAGTGGGGATGGTGCCTTTGAACCTGAGGGTGAGGACCACACTGGGGGAGACTGAGAACAGCCTGCACACCAGACCTGGGCTATGAAGCTCATTACTTCTTGACAGCTGAGTACACCTCCATGCTGTTGGAGCAGTTATTTGGAGTTCTTCTGAGCTTAATTCTGATTACTACAGAGATCATTTTGCCAAGAAATACCACCCTCTGGCACTACCCAAATCCTGACGCACAAAAAGGATATGACCACAGTTCTGGGTGTCAAAAAACTTGAACCAAATTAGGACAATGGTTGGCACAGACATTAAACAGAGACATTTTAAGGAACCAGCCTGATTGTTGACCTGAACAGAGAAGTCTAAAAAGGTAGAAGCTTTTAAAAAGCAGTTTAGGCCCCTCTAGTAGGGTGAGAATTTGAGTGAACAGAGTCGATGCAGCAGCCCGAGAAAGCATGAGCACCGAGGGGGGCTCCGGGCCGAAGTGCGCATGGCAAGCTGGCCGAGGGCGGGCGCAGGTCTGAGTAAAGCAAACTACGTGAGCTGTCTGAGGGGCCCCGGGTGCCCCGCCTGACCAGGCCCAGGGAGCCGGGGTAACACCCTATTCCCGGGCATGTCCTGGGAGGGTGTTTCTGCATGAGAGGAGCATTCCAACAGGTGGACTCAAGACTGCCTTCCGCAGTGTGGCTGGGCATCGTCCAGCCCACCGAGGGCTTGAACAGGACAAGAGGCGGAGCAGGGAGAGATCTGCCCCTTCCCTCTGCGTCGTCACTGGGTTTGGGGGTGTCCTCTCCTCCTGCCCTCAGACTGGGATTCACAGCCCCTGCTCTCAGGCCCACCAGCCAGGACTGAGTCACTCCAGCCGCTCTCCGGGGCCTCTGGCCTGGAGACAGCAGATGTTGGTACTCCTCGGGTTTCCTCACCATAAATCTCTATCTATATACACAGGTGTATCCAGTGTATTAGGTCTCCTGATGGTTCCATTTCTCTGGAGAACCTGGATACAGGCCAGTGGTCAGAATGGACCCAGTCATGTAGGGCTTGAATCGGTGGGAAGGTCATGGCGTTCCTGCGGAACCAAAGGACGACAGAATGTTGCCCGAACCTGTCAGGGTCAGCACAGAGGGGCGCAGAGCAGCCACGGGCATGCTGGGAGGGGGCTGGCCTACAGGGACGTCACAGCCATGCAGGCCTCCCGAAGCCCTCCACCTATCCCATGCTCCATTCTCAGTAACGAACTGCCCTCAGCTTCCTGAAAAGTCCAGCCTCCCCCACACCTAATCTGTGAGCCTGGCATCAAAAGCATAAAACTGAGCTGGAAATCTCACTTCAAAAGGGCAGACTGAAAAGCCCAGAAGGTCAGAGTTTAAAAGAACTTCAGAGCCTGACATTAATTCACAGATGGAGAAACTGAGGCCCAACATCACACTGACCATCATCAGAGAAGGCAGGACAAGAGCTGGTCTGGGACTTCTAGGTCAGCCCGCCTTCCTGCCTCCTGAGAACACACAAATTAAATGATGATTTTTATGTTTCTGAGCAAAGCAACTTCAGATATGATACCTTCAAAATAAGGTTTCTTTGGAAATTTCCCTTTCTGGAGTCTGAGGGGATATCCTTCTAGACCCCAAGAAATGTTGTCATTTGTCCTGCATTCCTGGACTTTACCAAACAAGATTCAAAGGCCACACGCACATACTACCTCAGGGCTTCATACGGCTACAAAGCTGCCCCTATAAAAACCCCAGACGGACATGCAGACCTATACTAAAGCATCATAAGTCAAAGTCACTTCCCCCGAGGGCTTAACCAGGCAAAACAATGAAAACCCCCAAGCCGCTTAAATGTAACCTTCTGTGAACCTGAAGTCTACCAGTTCTGGAGTTTTAAGATCTCCGAATCCAAACACTTAACACTGCCAAAAAAGGTGGAGGTAAACAGACTGTCCACAAAAAGTTTTCACAAACAATGACTAGGCAAAAAAAAAAAAAAAAAAAAACGATTACCTGCAATAGTTAAACAAAAAGATTTCAAAGAGACCAATTTATACAAGGTTTAGAAAAAATGACATAGACAACTAAATGTTTTCTATCATTTCTAGATTTCTGAGAAGGTGAAGGGTGATGGCCTGAAAACGGACTGTGTCCCTGACTTCCAGCCCACCCTGCCGGGGCCCCACGAGGAAACTGACGTCCACACACCCAGGCCTACACACACACTAGCGCTGGACCTTCAAAAGCCAAGGGACCAGAGGGCCACAGGCATCAGAATTACTTCTCCGTTCCACTCTGAGGATTGTGGGATGAAACTTAAAACAAGGCCCATCCACGCATTCACCCAGCTGGCCTGAGTTCACACATCTGCTAAAGGCCATGCTATGCTTTGCTGTTTCCAAGACGGGTAGGTAGGTGATGTCCCCGGCATCAGGAAATGACTACTAGACAGTGGACGGACCAGGAGACAAGAGCCGAGCACAGTAAGCAGAGGTATAGGAGCCATGGCCCAGCAGAGGGAGGGGTCCGCTCCCCGGGAGCTGGAGGCGAAGCAGGGGCCAGGGAGTTGTCACTAAGGACAGGATGCTCGGACCTGCGTGAGAGGTTCAAGAGTCGCTCCCCAAGTAAGGGGACTGACCGTTCGATGCGGAGGAAACGGACACCCGAAGGCCCAGAGGCAGAAACACGGTGGCGCCCCGGAACAGCAGCATGTCAACGATGGCTTCATGGGTATACAGATGCACTGCCTGATCAGCTTTCCACTTGTTTTTGTTACTGGGATGGGGGAGGCAATTAGAACTAAGCACATATCACCTCCCAACTACCTGATCAATAATCCGTTCCCGTCTGTCTCATCAGACCTTCCACTAGAGCCCCCAGGAGCCACGGGTTCAGCCCACACTCCCTGCAAGCCCTCCATGTGAGGCGCCTCCCTGACCTCAGCAGGCTCCAACATCTGCCCTACACTCCTCAGGACTTAGCATTCCAGAAGCCACGTCTTGCTCTCTGCTGTCAGAGCTTCTGTGTCCAGGAAGGACGGTGCTATGAAGCACAGTTTGGAAGAAACCTGAATTCAAGATCCAGCTCTGCCCGTCTTAGTGCAGAGACCCAAGGTGGTACTGGATCTTCGAGCCTCCCTTTCCCCATCACCAAACACCTCCCCATCCCCGTCTTAAACTACAGAGAAGACTAGCTGACGTAATTAGTAAACTGCCTGGCACATGATAGGCAATTGAGTAACATCAACTGAGTTCCCTTTCTTCACTGCTCCGATCTGATCTTGCCACAAGGACCCTGGTAAAACGCCAAGGCCAGTCCTGGCCCATGTAAACTTAAGGCCAAGTCCGGCACTAAACCCCAAGAGACCCCCTTCTTTCGGCCCCACATTTCATCTTCAAGAGATTTCTGTGGATCATCTACCCTGATTCTACTAAACTACAGAACAAATTAAAAGAGTTCACAGAAACAGAGTGCAGCCCAGGAACATTTCCTAAGTGAGACGTTCTGAAAGGGTGCTGGGCTGACGACAGAACGGTAGTACGGCTGTGAGCCTGTGTTCTCCCTGCAGAATGCCGTTACAGTTTCCTGTCATTGCAAAAGTAGTAACATGATTTTAAGAGTTGAGATAAATGTTTGGCGTGAAAGGTACCATGAATCAAAGAGTGATTCTGCATTTAATTTTACGCCCTGACCAGTGTTTTTAAGTCTTACCATTACTAAAGAGATCTCTTTAGGTAAAGGAAATGAGGTAACTAGGGACAGAACTATTCCCCTGCTCTCTGATGAGAACATTAAGTCCCTGATCCTGAGGTCACGACCTTGGGTAGAGGGAAGAGACAGGGACAGGCCCGCTTCTGAGGGACAAAAGCAGGGAACACGGAGCAGAAAGGAGTTAGAAAGCACACCACCTGCCCTGAGACCCGGCTCAACCTCACATCCTCATGAGGCGGCGCCGAGCCGCCTGAATCAAGGACCTGGCGGCCAAGGGGTTATGTTGTAAGAGGGCTTCTTCCTTCTAACAACCCATCTGGAGTCAGAAGGCCAGACAGTGGGATGGCAGGACAGCCCATGTGCAGGACAAGGGCACATGACGAGGACTGGTGGGGGCAGTTCTGCCGCCTTCTGCCAAGTCACTGGGCCTATTTTCCCTTTTACATCTCGTGTGAAGAATAATAAATTTGGATAAAACATGCACCTGAGAAATAGCAGAAGCTGTCAGGAAATCATTCAAGATAGTCCAAAAGTCATTCTGCATCAATTTCTAATATTTTATAGGCATAAATTACCCATTTGATAAGGATTCACTGAGTCCTTTCCATGTGTTAAACACTGTTTCACTTACTGGATGTATCGAGGAATAAAGTAGAAAAAGATGCCTGCACACAGAGCACACAGTCCGGCAGACGCAGACAGAACAAGGAAATTATACAGTATATTAAGTGGTGACATGTGTACAGTAAAAGAAAAATGGAGCAGGGTAGTGAGGTCAGGGGTGGTCAGGACAGGCCTCATTGAGGAGTGGGCCATGCAGGTATCTGGGAGGAAGAGCCTTCCAGGGCACAAGAGTAAGGTGGGTACATTCCTGGCACATTAGCAGAAGAGCAGGGCCATCAGTGCAACTGAGGCAGACATGCCGGAGAAAGGCAGTGGGGATCCAGTAGCAGACGGAAGACCCTGCAGCCACTACACAGGCTTTGGCTTTAACCATCAAAGAGATGGGCAGCCACTGGAGGTGTTTTAACCCTATCAACATAGTTACACTCAAGTAGTTGTATGACATCTTTTGTAACCACACTGTGTAATCAAAACCACTGGCACGATTCAGTTCTGCATCCTGGTTTAGGCAGCTGTTGTGTGCACTCGCTTTGTGCATCTGAGTCCTGGCCGAGGCCCTGTACATGTAGATTCACATAATGCAGAACCGATTCGCCCCGACAAAGGGCTCCTCCTCCCACACCCCAGCCTCCCTCACCTGCCCTTCACCGCTGCAGCCTTGCCGATCCGTGGAACCACACTGTCTGTGATCTGAGATCGCCTTTCTCACTTAGCATAATGGTCCTGAGGTCAGAGCTGTAGTTCATGCTATACATGCACCACCCAAGCCCTAACTCACTGTTAGAGATGAGCCATTTCCAGTTTGGGGCTATTAGAAAAACAAAACTGCTAGCCCAACAGCCATTCTATATCAACTTTCTAACATTTTACACTTTTAAACTTTTAATTACTCATTCAATAAATAAAATCCTATGTGCCAGCATTGTTCCACTTGCTGGGATTTGTGTGCAAGCTTTTATGTGGACCTAGGTTTTCATTTCTTGGAGACGGCCAGGAGTGCAATTGCTGGGTCACATGGTAAACATTTAACTTTTAAAAAAAGGGATAGGTTGATTCCCAGATGAAACATTCTACCTTCGCACCAGCAACACGTCACAGACTTGACGTGTCCACATCCTCACCGGCATCTGAGTTACCTTTTCCCAGCAGAGCCATTCCAACCAGTACCCTCACTGTGGTTTTAATTTGCAGTCCCCTAGTAGCTAATGTTGGACATACTTCATGTGTTTACTTGCCACACAAATGTCTTTTTGGAAGAAAAATCTGCTCAAGTCTTTGCCCATTTTCAATTTGGATTATTTCCTCATTTAGAGAATTCTTTATATATTCTGGATATAAACCCTTTGTCAAGATAGTCCTTTAAAAGAATTTTGCTCCCAGTGGCATTTATCCTCCTAAGGTTTTAAAGAAGTTTTTACTTCTCACAAAGTCAAATTTAGCCACTTTTTCCCTGAGACATGACAGCAAAAGCAGGGATCCATGTGAACTCCTTGGCTAATAGTAAGACTCTTCAAAGAAGTTAAGATTTTATATTTAGATTTATGACCCACTATGGGTTAATTTTTGTACAAAGTAGGAGGTTCAGGTCAAGATTTGACTACTGACATCCACTTGTTGCAGAACCACCTGTTGAAAAGGCTTCCCTCCCTCCATTATAGTACTTTTTCATCTCGGTCAGGTATCAGTTGGAAGAACCTGCCTGGGTCTATTTCTGGGTTGTCTGGTCCACTGAGTTAAGTATGTGATTACTGTAGCTACAGCCCAAGTCTTAGACAGTGTAATTACCCACTGGAGGGCCTGGGGAGGAAAGTGAGGCTCTCTTACGTCTTAAAATGTGCTCTACCATGGTGACAGTTCCATCAGGGCTAAGGACACCGGTGAGAGGTGACAGCACCCAGGCCAGGAAGATAGCAGTAAAGGTGGGCAGAACCAGTCAGGTGCTGACTATATTACAAGCTGAGCTCACAGGAGGTCCTGGTGGATTCAGAGTGGCGTCTGAGGGAAAGAGGCCAGGTATGACCCCAGGGCTTCCTACCTGAGCGAATAAGGGGAACTGTCATCAACTGAGATGGGGAAGGAGGACAGCGGAGCAGATTCTGCAAGGGAAGGTCAGTTCAGTTAACACGCTGGGTGCTGGGTCTGAGAAGCCCGTTAGACTCCTAAGGGAGAAGTGAAACAGACTGTGGATTCAAGGATGCCAAGTTTAGGAGAGGTCTGTTTACCCTGGAGATTAAAGCTCAGGAGCTGTCAGCACACAAATCCCTATGCTAGGTGAGAATGCCAAATGAAAGGGGGCACTTGGTGGGCACTCCAACACTGAGGCCAGAGGACACGGAACACATGAGCAGGGAGGCAGGAAGGAAATCAGGAGAGAACGGCAGCTAGAAGCCAAGTAAAAAAAGCATTCTGCCTGGTGCCAGGTACAGGGGCACGGGTTGGGAACCTAGAAGCAGAGCGCTGGAGACCTGCTCAGGAGCCGCCTGGTGAGCCAGCATGCTTCCTGCACACAGAGCCACAGAGGGCCTCAGAGAGCCAGAGCAATCCTGAGAAAGACCAAAGCTGGGAGGATTATGCTCCCTGACTTCAAGCTCTACTACAAAGCCACAGTAATCAGAACAGTACAGTACCAACACATGAGCAGACCCAGAGAGCCCAGACAGAAACACACACACACACGGTCAAAATTTACAACAAAGGAGCCATGAACATACAATGGGGAAAGGAGAGTCTCTTGAATAACTGGCATTGGGAAAACTGGACAGCTACATGCAAGAGAATGAAATTGGATTACTAACTCCATACTAAAAAGTAAACTTGAAATGGATTAAAGACCTAAATGCAAGACATGAAACCATAAAACTCCTAGAAGAAAACATAGGCAAAAATCTCTTGAAAATAAGCATTAGCAATCTTTTTCTGGACACATCTCCTTAGGCAAAGGAAACAAAAAAAATGAACAAGTGGGACTACATCAAACCAAAAAGCTTCTATACAGCCAAGGACACCAAGTAAACGAAAAGCATCTTATAGTATGGGAGAATATATTCATAAATGATTTATCCAATAAGGGGTTAACATCTAAAAATATATAAAGAACTCATATGCCTCAACATCAAAAATAATCTGATTAAAAAGGGGCTGAGGACCTGAACATTCTTCCAAAGATGACATACAGATGGCCAACAGGCACATGAAAAGATGCTCCACACAGCTAATCATCAGGGAAATGCACATCAAAACCACAATGAGATATCATGTCACACCAATCACTATCCAAAAGACAAGAAGTAAGTGTTGGCAAGGAAGTGGAGAAAAGGGAACCCTCCCACACTGTCGGTGGGAATGTCAACTGGTGCAGCCTGAAAATAGAACTACCAAACAACCCAGTAATCGTACTTCTAGGAATTTACCCAGAGAAAACAAAATCCCTGATTTGGAAAGATATATGCACCCCTATGTTTATTACTGCACTATTTACAATAGCCAAGATATGGAAGCAACCAGTGTCCATCAGTACATGAATGGATGAAGATGTGGTACATATACACAATGGAATATTATTCAGCCATAAAAAAGAAACCCTGTCATTTGTGACAACATGGATGGACCCAGATGGTAT